AGATGGTGAAATATGTTTTTAAAAGAAATTAGTATATTTCTTATCACATATATCTTAAGAGATAATCAGTATTTTAAGCTTTAGCCTTTATTTTCTGTTTACTTACCCTATTTTAGTAATTACAAACCATCTGAGTACCATCTCAGGTCCAATATGTAAAATTAAATGGCAAAACTGATTGTAAATTTCCTTAAAGTCCAAATACTTAATATTCACTAACACTTGTATTAATAATTTTTTAGCATAGAAATCATTCACTTTCCTCTTCTAAGACTTATACACCAGAGTTATCTAATAAATTAGAAATATGCTTGTCTCCTTAAATTTGAAAGCTAAGCTTTTCCCATATGGATTTCTAATTGTTCCTTCCCACCAGAATTATCTCAAGGTGGCTGTCAAAAAATCCAAGGGAACTAAGAAAAGTTATTAAAAGTAGTGGAAGGATAAAAAAGAAGAATTTTTACCTAAGCTCTAGTCAACTTTAATGTTGCTTGTTTAAGAATTTGTAATCTTTGCAAGGCAGAATGAGTAGCATTGAATCTTCTCTCTACTAAGACGCTACCACCTGTATGGGTTTTGGCCAAGCTTCTCCTTCACTCTCTAAGGTAAACTCACACCAGCCTACAGCAGTGGTTCTTAAGTGTGGTCTCCATAGGAGCTGCATTGGGAATGTGTCAGAAATGCAAATTTTTGGTCCTCTGTCCCCACTCCCTGGAGACCCAAGAAAGAGAAACTGGAGGTGGGTGGCCGCAAGATGCGGCTTAACAAACCCTTTAGGTGATTCTTAACCACACCAAAGTTTGAGAACCGCTGGCCTAGAGTGCTAGAGGAAAATGTCTACCTATAAATAGGGTAGTTATCTCAGTTTTTTCTGCTGGAGTCAAAGAAGAGGAAACTTAGTAATTAAATATGAAAAGGAATATAGGATGAGCAAGAGGGGAGGAAAAGTGGCAAAAAAATCAATGAAACTGTCACTGACATAGATAAGATTCATTTTCAACTGATTTAACATAACCAGTTGTTTTTGGCTCGTGAAAATAAAATCGTAGACCCACAGTGAAGAGTAATTTGTTTTCTTACTGCCCTTAAGGGTAGAATTGAGATGATCTATTTACATTTTCATCTGATGCCTTTAAAAATTGACATTTATTTGAAACATTGATAGTTGAATTACAGGTTCAATCTATAAAAACTATACTAAAAATAAAATAAATTGCACTTATTCACATCATACTTTTAGCAACCAGATGAACCCTCATATTAGCAAGTAAATGTCTCTTGGATGAACTAGTCCCATTTATAGGAAACAGATTGGGATAAAATAATTCCAGTAATCTGAGGCAGATTTATTTATAGTGGTGGTTGGGGGTAGACTGTACTTTGTTAATCAGCAGACTAAATTTCAGAATTCTTAAGGTTAGTGTGGCCTGAATGAGCACATTCTGTCTTGTTGTCAATTTGGGTTCAGATATATTAGTTCTAAAATATTGAACCAGTTTCTAAATCTCTGGAATATTAAAATGAAGATGATAAGAGGGTTGTTATGAGGATTGAAATAGTAAATATATGGTGCCCAGCAATGCCTAATATATGGTGAGTATTCAATAAATAATAGTTTTCAGTACTAATACATTTGACTCTGCCTTTTGTTACCACCTTCTCTTTTAAAATGATCATAGTGCAATTCTCCTAGAGGCTAAAATCATTTCTAAAATCACCTGTCGACCACACTAGTCAAAATATTTTCTGAATATCCACTGAGTATTGAAAAGCTGGAGTAACGGACCTTTCAATCTGTATCATCCCAAGTGGAATGTTCTCATACATCCTAAAATATTATATAGAAATATGGTAATGGTGTTCACATTAGTTGAGTGAAAGAATAACCCTTCTTTCTCACAGTCTATAGATCTAGCTCATAGGGCAATTTATACATTTTAAAAATGCAGTTTTAATCTTTATTGTTTTAACTGTCACCTGAACCAATAAATGGGATGGAGTAGGGCCATGGGTCGTAGTGGAAGAAATGGATGTTCTTGGCCACTTCTAACAGGTTACAGGAGGGAAGAAATGAACAAAATACACGTGTGTATACACTTCAACATACAATTTGTTACACTTAAATATTGTCTCTGATAAACAAATAGGTACCAAGAGACGTGTAAGGGGTCACTCTTTTTTAATCCTCCCTATTGACAGTCGGGTAGCGCTGTATACTGAAGAACTGGGTGCCTAAATAAATGCCTCAGACAGAGACCTCCTGTGCTTCTTCTCTTCCCCTCCAATCATCAACCTCTGCAGTTTCTCAAGGCTAAAAGCAAATAAACAGACCCATTATGATGTCTTATCTTTGCACACCTGACTACTTGTAAGTCCTCTATAGTAGAACCACAGTGTTCCCAGTTAGTGTCCTTCCTTATTTTCTTTGTTAAATGTCATTATTTGTGACATAGGATGTTCAATAGGACCAAGAAAAAGAGGTCAAAAGCAGTACTTGATTCTCAGGGACCCCTGCAAAGATAGCTGCAGTGTATTATTTAGCAATGTAATTTATAGTTATTTTGAGAAACAATGACATTTCAAGAAGTGATGTTAAGTTTTAAAATTCTTTTGCCATGCAGAGTATGAGAAATGATTATGGAATGTGTAGAAACAAGTGGTGATTCCAAAGAATGAGACCACATATAGATAATAAAAATTACTTCTTTAAAAAAATTAAAGCATGGGGTAGTTATGTAGTTTGTATACAACGATTGGGTCTTAAGAAGAAATAGGAACAAATTTTATTTTGTGTGGCTAAACCAATATATACATAAAATTGACACTTTTGCATTTTTGGGGGGTATCGCCACAGGTTGCTACATTATTATAGTTCTTTTCAATATAAAGAGAGAAGGCGCTCCCCAATTCTGATATTCTCCATCCATATTTTTCTTTCACACTCCATGGATACAGCATTTAAAAAGTTTAGAGGAGGAGAGAACATTACCCTTTCTGCACAACCCTGTTCATTTTACACAGATGGAAGCCATTCAACAGAAGTTAAATAATTTGCTCTTGGTCAGGCCATACACCGGCAGAATTAGGTATTGTTATTCTTCCTCAAATGCTCTTTTAAAGGTTAAATATATAGGGGTTTAGTTCTGAGAATGACTTATGTTTTTTCATTTTTGTTACAGTGACTTCTTTTGTCACAGGCAAGCAACATAACCAGGCATTGCCATTCTCTTTTCTCTTTCCTCTTTTATATCGGCTACCTCCAGGCGACAACCTCATCAATTCCACAACAAATAACCAATAGTATCCTGAAGGAGAGTATTATCCTAAAGACCCATTTTCTCTAAGAAAAAGAAAAGACTAAATATTTGTAATGCAGGTATCTCAGATAAAAGAAATTCTGACTTTAATCAGATAAAATAAAATAGCCAGATTTATACCATAGTTTTGATAAAGACAAAAACCAACAGTGACCCCCTCTCCAAACTCACACTTTGAGCAACTCTCACTTTTCAGTACTATGAACACTTTTCTTAGGGATTACTTTTCCTTTTCTTTACCCCTAATATTTTCAGGGAACAATGAACACTTTGAATGGAGCGACACTGAAGCCAAGTATAAAGGGGTAAATGAGAGGACAGACAGCTCCTAGTCAATTTTAGCAAAAAGTCAACAACATTAAAGAAGTAACCGTATATTCCATTTAAGTGAGTATTTCCTTCGTATTCACACCATAAACCAACTTCACTGTAGCAGAACTAATGAACTCATTACAAATAAGTTTTTCTTTACTGGTAGATGCCACTGGCCTCAATGAGAACTTTTTCAAAAGGGATATTTAAAGAAAGTAGTTTTTCAAACATAATTTACCACAAAGCACCAAGATGGAAAACTTGTTGAATAAGCATCGAAAATAGTTAATATTTTTTAGACTAAATTAAAGCAAAATTCAATCTTGAAGGTGAATTTACCTTCCTTTTGACCCCTCTCTTCAAATAAGGAACAATACATAAACTTAAACTTAAACAAGTGAATATCTGATGTTTATCCAATAGCCTTTGCCAATGATATAGATTCTACAAAGAATAATTATTTGTCATTAAAATAAAAGAAGCAAACTTTCTTATACTTTAGAAATACATTTTTAAGAGGACCCTGTTTTCTAATAACACCGCTCTGATTTTACAAACACAATTCATGCCACCAATTATGGAGGTAAGCTTCTACAGTTTAAATCAATGCTTTACTTTTCAACAACCTTTTATCATTTTTGTAAAATTTCAGAAACCAGTCCATTAAATTTTTTTTCTCAATCCACATATTCTTTGAGATATTCCTTATAGGATCTTTTACCTTGGTTACTTTTATAATAAGTGTCCTTCAGGATTCAAGTATGGCAACTTTAATTTTTCAGATAATAATTTTCCTTGGTGGTCCTTAGAAAAATGAACTTAAATGCTGCCTTGATGTGAATAAAAATTATTATTTTGCGGGGGAGGGGTTGGGGAACTATGGAAGCAGTTTTGTTCACATTTTTAGGAATAATAACCACACTAACTTCAGTTTGAAACGATTATGTTTGCTATCTTATATTTTTCAAGCATAGAATGGAGTGGTTTAGTTATACCTGTACCCTCATAGCCCCGAAGTTTTTACTCTTTCCCCAAATCATCATCGTGCCTTCTGGTCCCAAGGCTATCGGATAGGTTCTGGCTCCGTCAATGGGGAATCAGTGCTATAAACAATCAGGACTAATTTTATCCCTGTATTTAGTCTTGGATTTCACTAAGTTGTTAAGTAAATTATTCATTAATAATCTTATGCCTTTCTCGTCAAAAACATAAAAACTCATGTTAATAAATAAAGAGTTTAACAGTCATGACATAACCTTTCGCTGTAAGTTCTAGTAGTCGTTTGCTCTTCAACTCACTTGCTTTCTTTTTTCTAAAAATAATAGTAACAGAATCAGTAAAAAATGGACTGAAAGTGATTAATTTGTTAACATTTTTAATATGGGTGATTTTCATTAGAGAACACAGTTAATCTAAAATAATACTTGGTTAAATAATTTAATATCCTATGGTCTTGATCTGTATTACTTCAGGAAAAAGATAAATACTTTGGAAGAAAGGGGGAAAATAGGAAGGCAAGACAGTTAGGCTTTGGGAGAAGAAACAATATTCATATATTAAAAAATTAATATATACATATAGTATTAGCATAGTATTAGCATTTTAAGTAAATATCAATGGGAATCATTCAAAATTTCCTCGAGGTTCTCTTGGGGTAATAACATAAATGTTATGCTAACTAGATCAAGTATGGTATCTAAGTAAAAGGAAAATAGTCACTCATAATGACATCTAAAATTGATACTAGTGGGTACAGGATAGTGTATGGGACATGATTTCATTTGCATGTTTAAAAAGAATATAAGTACGTACAGATATGCCTGCATATGCAGAGTAACTCTGGAAAGGTAAACAAGAAATTGGTAACATCGGTTGCTACTTTTTACTTTCTACCCATTTGTAGCATGTAAATATTATGTTTTTCTTACTCAAAAATGCTGATTAAAAACCTGCTACTAAAATGAATTTAAATGACCTACAAGTCATGTCAAATTAAGAAAAAAGACTTTTTTTTACATATACAAAAATAAATGAATATATTGTTTTTCTAAGATCCACCTAGATAAATTTGGGTCAATATGCTTTATGACAGAGTAACTGTAATCTAAAAACTCAGTTTTCACATGATTAAGTGGGGAAAACACATTTTCCCCGCACCTCACTGTGACAACATTGCGGACCACGGATTGTCTTAACAGCATGCTAACATCCTTATTCTCTTTCTCCGATGGGCTAGCCATTAGCCACTATTTTCTCTATGAGATTCAAGAAATCTTTAATGTCAGAGAGATTTTAAGAATCTTATTTGGCAGTGATAAATTTTATACCTGTATTATTTTGTTGGCATAGAATCAATTTTAACTTATTTTAGTGGTTTACTTTAGATTTTTATCTTGCCAAAGACGTTTGGTGTTTTGGTAAAGGCAGATTTCCCACTATGTGGTGACCAAACAAATTCCTTACATAAAGCTTGAAATCAAATTTTTATGAATAGTTCTAATGAAAGGCATTTCAAAATAAGCAGGAAAAGAAATCTTACACTTATGGAAAATTACCTTTAGGACACCACTTAAAAATTCAAATGAAGTCCTAGTCACTTAAATATTAATAAACCATAAAACAAAACCTAAAGGAATGATTGTACATTTTTCAGTGGTAGCTGCTTATTAAAAATGAGCGTCTAAGGGTATATTCCAATTGCATCCTCTTCAAATTGTGCAGCTCAAATAAATGTTTATTTTACTGAAAATATTTGCAAAATTACAATATAAATACATGATTATATTAAGATAGGATGACTATGATGTATTCTTATCCACAGATATAAAATAAATGCAGTAAATATAGCATACTCTTGATGAATTGTTAGTACACAGTGTTTCTTAGTAAAGTACATACAACCTATTATTAAGCAACAATTATCTAGTTTTTGAATGTACATCTTAGGAAGTTTTTAGGATGAAAGGATACACTAAGTCCCCCAATACCCTTTTTGTTTGGAGAAAGTTAGTTCTTCTGCAAATTTTGAAATAATATACTTATCTCAGCAATTCTTCTTGGGCTCTTTGCATTTCCTCAATTTGAAATTTTATTTCTTTAGTCTGGGTGTTTTCATAATGACACCATGTCAGCCAACCACACTTTTAATTCTAATACAGTCATGTACTGTCTTTTCATTAGCTATTTAAACACATATCAACAATGAAACAGAATCATTCAAAAAAATTTGTCGGCACAAATTCCCAAAATCAATTTTCTGGGTATTACAGGGAGTCTCAACTAGATATAGTCTCAATGGTAATATTAATCGGAGTTAGAAATAGGTTTTTTAAAATTGATTCTAGTCCTTAAAAATACAAATATGAACTCTACTTTAAAATTCTTTGTTAAATGTATTGGGATTTATTTCAAAAGCATCTTCTACCCTTCTCCATTACACTGATTTAATGGAAACTTGTTACTACAGCAGTTCCAACGCAAACATATGCATGCAAGAGGTCACCCTATAGATTCTAACTACGTAGTTATTGAAACACATCCCACCTGTCAAGTGGCATAAATGTACATCTTATATATACAAAAGGTAAAGTGCATTATTAAATTAGTGAACTGACAGATTGTCTGCCTGGATCATATAGCTTTCAAATAGACAAATGTGAAATTCTCCCATTAGAACCAATTATTTCAAGAGGTTCCAACTAGCTTTTCCACCCTGTCATTTATTTTTTGGCCATGCTCTTTAGTGCAAATAAGCTTGTGTTTGACTCAAGTTTAAGGGACATGGCAATTTGGGGCTTTAACAAGAAAAATTATAAAATGTGGCAGAACAGTAATACTTTTATAATACATTGCATCTTTTGCATATAAGCAACAGATTAGTGCTGCTTTCAATAGCTAGGAGCACACTGCCAACTATTACGAGGAACCCGTTTCCAAATTTCATACTATTAGCTTATATTATTACAGTTTGAGTCTGTACCACATTAGCTTAGGTTATTATGTGCAAACATCATCAGTGTTTTAGAATTATACAGTAATTTTGGTTACTACCTTTAATGCTCATTTTTTGACTCCTACCACCCAGTTGCCTGAAGAGTTTATCTTCAAAGCAGGGATCCTGTCATTTGGAAGAATACCATGTACACTTGCAGCTCCATTTATGTCACAAATGACAATAAATAAAATGTATATTGCACAGATAAGAATAGTAGCTTATTTTATAAGATACATGGCAATTCATGTCTTAATACCAGAGTTTTGAACTGGATCTTATTTGATTATGGCTAGTGATTGATCGGGAATTTTAAGTATCAAAAAACAGAGCATAATTTCACTTTTCAATGAATACATTAACTCTGAGGAAAGTGAAACAAAAGGACTGGCAGAAGGCTTAATGATTCTAAAGTGTGTTCAATTGCCGGTAATATATGGTATATATGCATCGATCCAATCTGTAGCTTTGACATGGTAAAAACTTTTAAGTACACATACAATGTAGAAAATTTGTCTGCTTGACTAATTCTTTACTTAACTAATTAGTGCAAAATTAAACTAATCATATTTATGTACAGTAAATTAAAGATATTTATCTTTGACATAGTATTGTGTATATGTAATATATATTATATATTACACACACATAAATATGTGTGTGTCTATATATATGTATATATATATAGACACACACTTAAATATTATCAGACTAAAAACCCAAAAAGGAATCATTTAGACTTAATGAATATAAATATTCTGGAAAGGAAGGTTTTAAGAGAGAGTATACAGTCACAGCAATAGTGATAGGAACACTGAAATAGTGGGATATTCACAGCTCCAGTTTGCCAAAATCTGACAGGTTGATTATTATTAATAGGCACTATGATGGGCAGCAATAACAATCAGTAGTACAGTAATTCAAGTGCACACCACTCCTTTATATACCCAAAACTACGTTTACCAAGCCTACAATAGTTTTTGACGGTCAGCACTGTTTGAAGAGCCTTGCTACTGTTAGGGTCTCAACACCCACCATGTGCTATTAATTCTAGTACCAACATTGTCTTCTAATGTTTGGTTGTTCCATAGTGATCCAGATGGTCCACAATTAGAATGAACTGATGACACTCCTTCATACTACTAGGAAATGTGAAATACAATCTGCAAACCAACACCAGCATCTAGGTCTGGGTTACTGAATGCCTGTTTTTAAGTAATACAAACCAGTGAAACTAATTTTCTTAATCCATATCATAAAGTTTCCTAGTGACCTTACTTAAACATATTTGGGGACAAAACTCTGAAGGAAATAATTGTTAAAATAATCTTGAGTTACGTGTAGCATATAAAAGAAGAGCTATATTCTGATCTCAATCCGTGCAGCCAAGCTCTCATTAATGAGAGCTATATTTGGGGGTTGAAATCAGTGTCTGGCCCTTAAACATGGTTATATGGACTTACTGTGTGGGAAGGGAATGAAGCCAAGATAAAAGACAATAATTTCATTCAGAATAAAATGTAGCTCAACAGATAAAAATTGAGTCGGTTAATACAGGGTGGGTTGGTACACATAGACACTATAACCACTTGTTTAAAAAATTGCTTAGGTGTTGAAAAATTGCTGTGGCACTTCCTGGAAAGTAATTTTTAATACATGTAAATGGGTGAGTCTTGTTTTTAAAGTAAACCTTGTTAAGTAGTATAAAGAGCACCTTGGAAAATGCCTGAATTTTCCTTTCAAACATATTTATAACCAATCTTCAAATAATATTTTCCCAGTCTGAAAATTTATATTCTAAATGCTTTTTAGAAAAATCCTTTTTTTCTCCCCTGAAATTAAAACATCTGTAAAAGTCAGGTTTATACTGGAAGTGTTGACTCAGTTTTAAGGGTGGCAATTGCAAAAGTGCTACTAAAATATATTATTACAGATGTATTTTTATTTCAGTGAACTGGTGCACCAACCCCTCTGAAAGAGTGTTAAAGAAGAAGCATAAGATATAACACCTTAAGTCCATGATATATTTTGGGGGAAAAACCTCTCATAATCTTCAAATTAGCATGAAAAATAAACCACCAAGATTTCCATGGCAAAGCCACAGGAAGAGGCTTCCCCTTCAAGTGACATAAAAGTAATTCCTGAAACTTTGCTAAGTCAGTAAAAATATATAATATAATAAACACAAGTGAAGATGAAATTGATTCTAACTAACTTAGAATAACCAATTAAAACTCTCCCATGACTTTGATACGGCAACTCTAAACTGTAGGGTTACCACAAAACTTGAAATTTTAGAATACTATAGCAACTCTAAGATTTGATACTTTAATGTTACTGTTTAATATTCAATTATCCAATGGATAATTAATATATTTCTACTTGTACTTTTACAAATAAGCATATGTACACTACACTTGAGGTCAATTTCTGTTTCTGTGGTAACGGTCCTACAGGTAAGCTCAGCAGCTTTTAATGAAGGAGGAATGGGGTACTTTTGGGGGGAACTTGTTAAATAGTAATTCACACTTCCATATTATGTATCTTTTTTCAGGATTATGTCATAGTGCAATGTAAATCTTAGTTATGGTATTTAGAAGGTCAGAATGTCACATTTTGTGCTGATCTGCATACTTCAGTAGTCTGGAGCAGATGAAGCGGCTAAACTATTTAGCTCTAGGAAGTTGGGAATTCCCATACGAATTATAGTGTTCTGTGTATAACATAACATGAGAATCGGACTCCTTGAAGTATAAACTATAGAGGTATTACTAATAACACAGGGCCAAAAAAGAGGAAAAACTTCTTCAAATGATTATGGATCAGTTCTTTTGGCCAATCTATGATTTTAAATTTTGCCTGATGGAGTTCAATTTCACTCTAGTTCGAGGCATTCTTGTTCTTCACCACTGGCCCTTCTGCCATCCATTCTTTTTTCTTTATGGCTGTTGCATATTTTCCTCATCTCTTCTTCATACTTGATAAAATTCTCCCCAAACCTTGTCCAAGCTTTGAATGGAACAGTAATAGTATTACGGTAAGGTGGCCTCACCTCACTTACCTTCAGGAAAATTCCATATTTATTAGAGCCCACATCAAAGTAGAACCTTTTATTGTCCACTCTGAAAGAAGTCCCCTCTGGGAGTTCAAGTGGGTCATCGTCTCCACCTCTTCGTTCTTCTATGTCCCCTTCACCATAGTCTTCAATTAGCTGAACCAAGGCATCGCGAAACTCAATCATTCCTTGTGCAGGGAGGACAATAGTCTGCTCTTGGCCCAAACTGTGGCCAAAATAACCTATCATGCCAGTCCCCCGCATCATGGTTTGTCTAATCCTTAGGAAGCGACCCCGCTGATTTTCCTTTAGGTCCAGATAGTATTTCCTATTGTCCCTCTCTATGTAGTCTGTTTTGAGGACACTGTGAGGGTGCTCCTCGGACCCCACGGAGACTGGTGGGGAGGGCGCCGAGTGCTTCGGTCTCCTCCTGGAGCCTGGCTCTTTGCTGTGGCCATGCTCTTGCCGGTGGCCCTTCAGACCCAGGTGGGCGTAATGCTCGATGAAGTCCCCTAGACAGTCCTTCAGCTCTGCTGCCACCGACAGGGAGAGGGTCAGCTTACTCTTTCTGATATTGTCCTGCCGGCCTCTCCCGATCCAGACTTCGGCTATCTTTAGGAACCGGCCCCGGGAGCTTTGCTTCACGTCTAAGTAAAATCTCTTTTTCTGGATGTCCACGCGTTTGGAGGCCAGCTCCTGGATTTCGGCTGCGCCCCCAGGCTGATGAGGGGTGGCTGAAGCCGCGTAGTGGGGGTAGTGGGAGTGCTGGGCCTGGGGATAGAGTCTACTCCTGCTTAGGCCGGAGCCCCCCACATTCTTGCCTCCGCGGCCGCCGCCGCCTCCCCTTCGCCTGGCTCTTTCCATCTTCAGCTGCAAGTGACAAACAGACACACGGGGCAGGGTGGGGGAGGGGTGTTGAGAACAATCGCAGACGCCCCTCGGCCTGCGCCGCCCCCGCCTCTGCCCGGGACCCCCACGCCGGGCTCTGTTCCCACGGCGTCGGCCGCCCCAGCGCCCAGCTCCTGCCCCAGGCAGAGGATCGGCGGCGGCCGGCGACAGACCCAGTTCTGCACCCCGCGCTCAGCATCCCTCCGCCGCTGCTAGCCTCCCGCTCCCGCTCGCCGCCGGGCGCCCGCTGGGAGCTCGGGAGCTCCGGGGTCCCCAGCCGGCAGACACTCACATCAGCACTGCCATCACCGCCGTCGCTGATGCCCTTCACGACCGCCGCCGCCGCCAGATCTCGGCCCCTCTGCTGCAGCCGCCGCCTCCCGCCTGCTCCCCCGCCGTCGCCGATCGCACAGCCCCGCGCCGGAGCAGCCCGGCAGGGGCATCGCCCGCGGCACCCACAGCCGCCGCCCCTCCTGCGGCCGCTGCGGGGGCCGCCGCCTCTCTCCCGGCACCGGCCCGACACCGGCCGGGGAGGGGGGGGTGGGAGGCGGGGTGGGTGGCGGCGAGGGGCGGGTAGTGGACCCCGCCTCCTTCAGCACAGCCCACGGAAGGGAAGAGGGGGTCTCGAGTTCTCCCTTGGGGCGCACCCTGACCGAAGCCCAGCGTGTCAATGCGAGGCGACCGGACAGGTGTGAAGATAGGAATCAGGATCGGGAGTGGTGAGAGTGTTCTGACTTCTCCAGGTTTTGCTGGGATGTAGGACTCTCGCGGCCCACAGCACCTGCACAGAAACTACAATTCCCGGAGTGCCCCGCAGCAGCGAGAGTCCGCGCGCATGCGCACCGTCCTGCCTGGAGGCCAGAGCAGTGAGGGCAGCCGCCCGGCCAGGTGGCGAACGCGGGCGGGGCTCACCCCGGAGGAAGGGGAGGGGATGTTGGCCTCCCACAGCTGAGGTGTACCGTGTGCGCCGTGACGCTCCAGCGTGTACTCGGAAGCGCGGGAGTGAAGTGTGTAGAATTGGGGTGTATCCTGGATGCCTGGGTTCCAGGCCGTGCTGTGGTGGCGCTCCGCAAGTCATCCAGCTGGAGACCCGTTGAACTGGCTCTTCTCCGGGTAACGTGTCCTCCCCACTCCTCTAAAGCCGGGTGCAGACCTTACGGTATCGCCCGAGCCTTCTCCGACACTGGAGGTGCTCAGCCCCCCTGGGCGGTTTATGGGAGATTCCTTAGACACGGACACCCTCTTTTTCCTGTCCACCTCCCGAGCATCCGGAAGAGGCCCCCCGACCGCCTGCAGGCATTAGCGGAGCTTCTGTTGGTCAGGGCGGTGCTTCCCGGTCCCTCCAGCCCCCACCTTGTGCGGGTGGCCGCCCTTAGGATCCGTCTTTTCCACGCCGTCTTCACTGCTGTAGAAATTGAGCCACTCGATATTTACGCGGCAAAGCCGAGGGACGTAACTTGCTATGTGTAATTTGGCAAAATATGTTGCATTTCTTAAGTTGAAATCATTCAGTCCCTACTGTGTGTGTGTGTGTGCGCGCGTGTGCGTGTTTCCTGGCTGAATCTTAGTTGTTTTCTGGGTAGCTTTGAGTATGTAAAGATACTACTCCCTATGGAAGAGAGTGCTACCAGCCTTTAAGGTAGAGTACTTTGGTATGTTAGTTTTTAGGGAATTGGAGCTCCGGATAGGTAGGACAGTTCAGATTCCATGTCATTGAATAGAGGACTGGTCCAGACTGTTCATATGCATTTGGAAGTCATCTGTGTGCTATAGATAATTTTAAAGCCATCAGACTGGATGCGATAGGGAGTGAATGTGGATGAAGGAGGAAGAACAAGTCTGTTACCTGAATCTGTAATGCCATGATGTTTAAAGATTGGAGAGGTAAGGAAGGACCAATAAATAGTACTGAGAAAGAATTCTTACTGGTGTAGCTGAAGAAGCAAGAATTGTAACAGAAGCCTAATAAAGTATTTCAAGAAGGCGGGTGTGACTATTTGGGACATGTGCTGCTGGTGCATGGACCCAGATAAGGATTGAGAATTGACTATAGTCTATGACAACATGAAGGGCATTGGCAACTTTGATATGAGTCTTCTTGGTGGAGTGGGTTTGAGAGACCATAGGGGGAAAATAAATAAATAAATAAATAAATTCATTCCTCAGTTGGCAAGCTAGAGATGTAGGAAAGCTAATGGTATAGCTCCAGTGCAAGTCTGAAGGCCTGAGAACGGGGAGAACCAGTGGTATATGTTTCAGTCTAAGTCTGAGCCCAAAGGCCAGTGAAGACTCATTGCTAGTTGGAAGATGGTCAGGCAGAGTGAATTCTCCTTTATTCAGACTTTTTGTTCTGTTCATACCTTCAACAGATTGGATGAGGCTCACCTACATTGGGGGGGACATTATTCAATATACTGATTTAAGTGTTAATGTCATCACAGACATACCCAGGATAATGTTTAACTAAATATCCTAGCACCCAGTGACCCATTCAAATCGACTCTGTAAAATCAACCATCATAGTGGAGTATATTGACATAGATGCATTGACATGAATAAATTTCAGAGTAGCTGTTTTTTTTGTTTCTTAAAAGTCATTTTTAATTTTTCAATTACAGTTGCCATAATAATATTATATTAGATCCAGGTGTATACAGCTCAGTGATTAGACATTGTATAATTACTAAGTGATCATCCTGATAAATGTAGTACCCATCTGACACCATACATAGTTATTAGGAATTGTATTGACTATATTTCCTATGCTGTACTTTACATCCCCATGACTATTCTGTAGAAACCAATCGGTACCTCTTAATCCCTTTACCTTTTTTTACCTATCCTCCCAACCCTCTCCCATCTGGCAAACGTCAAAATGTTCTCTGTATCTATGAGTCTGTTTCTGTTCTGCTTCTTTTAGGGTAGGAGTCTGTGTAAATTCTTTTTTGGTTGCTTAAGTGAAATGTAAAGCAAGAGCTTCAGTTGAGAGTGAGGATGGGGAAAGAGATATGACAGGTTTAAGTAGAAAGGAGAAGATATGAACTCGAAGGTGAGGATAGTAAGTAGATTAGTGAAAAGTTGTAGAATTGCTAGGAAGACTAAGAGCTTACTTGAGGTTGCTGGTCACAAATTTAAGGTGAGACCGGTCACCACGGTTGTGATTTTCACCTGCTACATTCATTCACCTGCATAACTACAGACACATAATCAGCAGAGAACTTGCTTTTGATCAGGGTTAGAGTTTTGCCGAGAGAAGAATGAAGCCAGAGATGGGTAATGAAGTGAAGGGAATATGGAGGGAAAGGGTTACAACTTTTTAATTTAAATTAGTCAAGGGAAAGATGACTGGATAAAGATATAGTTGTATATAATGGAATATTACTTTGTCATAAAAAGAATGAAATCTTACCATTTGCGAAAATATGGGTGGACCTAGAGAGTATCATGCTAAGTGAAATCAGACAGAGAATGACAAATACTGTGTGATTTCATGTTATGTGAAATCTAAAGAATAAAATAAATGAACAAACAATAGAAACAGACTCATTGATACAGAGAACAGACTGATGGTTGCCGGGGGGCGGTGTTGTGGGGCTGGGTGAAAAAGGTGAAGGGATTAAGAAGTACAAATTGGTAGTTACAAAATAGCCCTGGGATGTGAAGTACACCGAAAGGAATATAATCAGTAATATTGTGATAACGATGTATGGTGCCAGGTGGATACTAGGTGTATTGATGGGTCAATTTGTAAATTATATAAATGTCTAACCAGTATGCTATACACATGAAACTAATATAAAATAATACTGAATGTCAACTATAATTGGGAGAAAAAAAACTGGTTAAGGAGGAATTAAAGACTACGCTAGGTTGAGCATTGTGAGAAGGTACCAGTATCATTGGAGTATAGGTACCCGTTGGATCAAAAGATTGGTTGAGTTTGAGTTTCTGGAGGGAATGAACTTGAAAAATAGGAGATACTATTTGGAGAGCAAGATGCTTGGAGCTGAGATTGTGGAGGGATTCAGTCACTGGGAGTGACATGATATTCTCATGTAAACAGATGACTGGAGCAAGGGGTAGGTAAGATTATTGGAGGATAGCTAGTCAGAAAACAGACACTGTCTTCCTCAGATATTGTACATCACAGGTTGTGACCCACTGGGTAAGTAAAGGGAGAAAAAAAATGTAGAATATTGACATAAATGGCTACAGTACTGATGGTGATCATGATGATAATTGTCCGTTAACACCCAAGTCAAATACCATCAACTTAATCTATAACACTGGAAAGTTAGGTATTGAGTTACATATAGTTATATGGCAGCTCATAGTCAACCCATAAGTCCTTCATGGACATTAGTTATTGGACCAAAGTCTTCTTGTAAGAGTGGCAGGTCTTTTCAACTAAGAAAAGTGGCACAAGGCATCTTTTCTTAGTTGTCAGTTTGAAATTCTTCACCAAAGGCTTATAATGCAGCTTCTGTAGAAGTTTTTCTTGGGTCTCTGTGTAGGCTTCTTTGGTTTGTCTTATCTTTCAGGGTTGTGGATAATTTATGGTGAGAAGGCAGGCAGAGCAGGAGAACTCTATGACCTAGTAATTTCATACCTAGGAATCTATCCTATAGAAATAATAATGCGAATGTCTAAATGTACAAAGGGTGTTCATTGAACATTATTTGTGATAAAATTTATAAGCAACCTGTCTTCAGTGGGGAATAGTTAATATTCAATAGGGATACTAATATCAATAGGGATATATTATCAATGCAGATAGAAGGCTTCAAATTATCCTATTAAGAATAAGCATTAGGTTTTACTCTGTTCTGTTGGCCGGGATGCTTTCAGTCACAGCTAATGGAAAAACCAAATCAAACTTTGTTGCTTTAGCAACAAAGTGTTATTTATTAGCTTAGTTAACTGACACAGCCTGAGGTAGAGTGACCTTGGGACAAGTTCAGTCAGAGCTCTGACTTTGTGGCCCTGTGCTCGGCCCTCTTTCATGAAGGAGGCATGAAGGTGCTTAATCTTTAAGGTGGTTTCTTGTGTGGTTGTAAGATGAGTGTGCAGCAACCGTGCTGTGTATTTCTTCACATCTAGCAGGAGCAAAGGCATTCTTTCCCGAACCACGGAAGGAGAATTCTGAGCTTTGCTACAGTGGAACCACGTTGGATCGAATAATTAGGGACAGGAGATGGATAGGAGGTGGAGAACAGAGAACTAAAACCTGGGTCATAGCTCTTCTCCCTGAATCAGTTGTGTGGAAAGGGGAATGGGATTTCCCTATTGGCCTCAAAACAGTTGGGTTTCATTCCTGGTACGGATCTTGAGGTTCTCCCATTCAGAGTTTTGCTTTTACCCATTGAGGGTTCAGGTTGGGAGGGCTAAATGGTATGTTACTTTCTTGTTTTCTTAGTATTAAGGTAGTCAGCCTCTTTTTTGCTCCTTTCTTTCTTGATTTTACAAAAACCATGAAACTCTGTTTACACTCAGGATCCCAAGTGGGAAAAGTATATCATTTTTGACTTCATGATTTACAGAGGCCCTCATGTTAAATGCGATTGCAGGGTGTGATTGCAACTCTTAGAGTGCAAGAAAGTGGTAGATAGGAAGGGGGGAAACAGAGAGAGAGAGAGAGAGAGAGAGAGAGAGAGAGAGAGAGAGATCACGCTTGTTGAGAAACAACCTATGGACTATTAAAACTCTCCCTTTCCATACCTGACCTTAATTCTGTTTTCCCTGTAAGGGCCCCTATTAATGGATAGGTAGCCTCCTGGATTGTTCTTTGCATTTACATAGACATAGAGTTTCATTTTATAGTTTAAATTTTTGATGGCAACTATTATGGACACCCAGTTTTTCCTGTTTCACTTAGCACATGTATATAGAACTTATCATGTTAATACATATAGTTGTATTTTATTCTTCTACTATGCTGTATTATGGATATATCATTGTTTATTTAACTGTTAATTTACTGTACTAACTGCTTCTCCAGTTGTTGCTATTACAGACTAATACAGTGAATGTCTTTTGCTTATGTCCTTGTGTGCATGTGTGTATATTTCCATGGAGTACAGTAATTGCTGGCTTGAAGGGTATGTGTCTTTTAA